GTTACTAGTAGCTCTTTATAAGAATAATAATAATAAGTAATAATAATAATAATAATAATAATAATAATGATTAATGATAAGGCTAAAATATGTTTTGTCAAAACATCAAGAAGTGCGTAGATTATTGCCATTGTTCTCTTAGCTAGAGCCATCCAGAAGAACGAGTGAGAAAATTTTTCTAAATATCAACCTCTGGCAAATGATATTAAGGAAATTGGCAGCCGACTGGAAAATGGTGACGATGTACACGTACTTCTTAGTGACACTGAAATTTCTAACTTCTTTCATGAATCCCCTGCTGCACTGCAACTGAGCAAGGGTTATACATCCATGTGTAGAAGATTGCCATTGTAGACACAGGCAACATTGTGAGGAAGTTTCTGAACATCAACGTTGTTCCAACTGCTGATTATAACAGCTAAACAAGCTAAAATTGTATCTCATTGTTTATGGTATCCGACATGGAAATCTGTTGTACATGTTAAAATGTGAACAAATAAAATAATATTAATAACAATAATACTAATGTAATAATGATAATAATAGTAAAAAAATAATAATAATAATAATAATAATAAGAAATAAAGGGGTAATTTAATGAAATGTCATTATTTTCTCTTTAGAAAAACTCTAAAATTTAGCATAAAAAATTAGTTTTTTTATAACAAAAGGCATTTACCAATTTTTATTTTTTCATTTTTCGTGATTGACTAATTAAAGTCATTTTTTAGCTTTTTCGAATTTTAATGTATTTTTGCTGATTCCATCGATTCAATACAAGTTTAATGTATTTACTTCAAATAATATTTACGAGCTGCAGGGAAACTGTTCTCACAGAATTCCTGATGAGATTCGATTTCCTTTGCTAGAAATTTAACAACCCGTTGGTTAGCAGGTAATCTAACGCACGTCGCCCCGATCAGGTCCTTTTCCGGTTTCGGCCGACTTCGGGATAACTGAAGACAGAGATTCCTGAACAGGCCAAAACTAAAAGTTTGAAAGTCTGAGCTTCACCCTTGAACGAAAGGGCGAAGCCCTTCGATTACAGTAGTCAAACGTATTCAATCGCTTGAGTTTTTATCCGAACTGCGTTTTGATCACATTTTCTTTGCTTTTATGAACATTTCAAAACAATTAAGCGTGTTATTCTGATCATTTTCGGCCATCAGATCATATTTTAGGCATCCAGGAATCCATCCGCCCCCCCTTGTGATAATGAAATCGCTATGATGTGAATAATTCAGAATAAGACAAGAAAACACGAAACCCTGTGGACGGCTCCTCCGCGCACCGCTAACGCTCTGCCGGCCCCAGAGGCTTGATGCGCGACGCTACCACGCGTGCGCGGTGGACGCGGAGCGCGGCGGTGCGGGTGATGGGCGGAGGAACACTTCGCAAAAGGCGCGCCGCCGCTAATTATTTTATCCGCGCGCTCCCGCCGCTCCCCGCGCCACGCCCGCCCGACCCCACGCGACACGGCGTCGTTTTGTGTCACGCGCGCACGGGAAGTTCTGCCAACATGAGCAACCTGTCTCTCTTGTCGGCCGCTGGCCTCACCGCGATTGAACTCCGCGCGTCTCATCGGCCTTAAGCGACAGGCCTCTGCTTCTCAAACGCCGCCGCCGCCGTTCGGTGCGTTCTTCTGTTTGACAGTACGTTGCGCTTGTGATGTTGCTCATATAGGTTACTTTTTTCTGTGCGGCTTTCTAATGGCTTTTGAATCCATCGTGCGCAGCGTCCTACGCATGCTGTGAAGATGTTTCGGGTGAGGACGTCCGGACGGCCACGGCCACTACATCCCTCTCTAGCGTCTAGACGCCTGCGGCCCGTTTATGCCATGACAAGATGCTGCATACAACGGATCCATGGAAACCCAGGAGGCCGCTTGACGTCGAAGTCACGCGCCGTGACGTGACATGATGACAGAGAGAAGTGTCAGTGAGTTTGATCAGTGAGCCGCCTCTGCCGCTGGCACCGCGCGCGCAGCGCACTGGGTGTTGAGAAAAACGATCCTAACGCTGATGAGATTTTATGCCTCTTTCTAGGGCACCACGTGGAAACACAGCGTAGAGAGTAATTAATCATAATTAGAGTTGTAGCTAAAAATGTAGTCGCGCTAAAGTCTTAAGAGTGACATCCTTTACATTATACTTAAAAGTTTAAGAAACACACCTGGCGTAGAATTGTATTTTAAAAGTGTTCTGATTTGATAGAGTTTTTAGATGGATATAATTGCGACGAAATAATGCAAAATTTATATTAAAAACATACAGTTAAAGCTCTACTACCCGTTATACATTTACCTATCAACTGACACATGTCACCGAGATATATTAGATGAGTTAGGAAAATAGTATGTAAGGTGCAATAGTCGTAACTAGGTTCGGCATTTCTACATATACATTTGAAATAGGGAAAGTTTAGTCGCTTCTAGCACTCATGCAAATCTAAAGCTATCATTATCAACACAAATGCGAGAGCCAGAATTCCTATACATTAGACCATTTCTCATTTCCTAACTCCTACATGTGCAACATTAAATGATTGATGAATAGCTATCGTACTTGCTATGTGTGGAATTGTGATGCTATCGCCTGGCGTTCAATCATTCTATTTATAAAATTGGACCACTAGCGTGCCTACCCAATTTATTTCACGCTGTCTCTGAGTCCTCGCTACGGAGCTGTTGAGGTACTTTTGCGGAAGTAATTCGTTCACTTAGATACTATGACAGATTAAATCTGCACTAATTAAACTCAATCTGAATTATTACCAACAAAATACATACATGAGCCCAGTGTCTCAACAAGAATGGAACGTGTAGTCCATAGAGAGATCATCAACATCTCATGAGCTTTGTATTGAGAACTCAACTTCCTTTGCGACAAATCTATATATGAAGGAGTGACATTACCATTCTCAGTACACGTTCAACAAGTACTGCACGAAATCTCGGGAGATCAATGAGTCGAGTTCTTCGATGGTGTGACAAGAATCCGACTCAAGGAACTACTTCGACTTACTAGAAAGATCACGGACTTATAGTTAGCCTTTCATCGGAGGTCAACCTTTAATTTACTGAGAAATATGTGACGTATAGCCACTCATTTCTGCACAAGTCATTCAGAACAAAACATTTTACACTCAATGATATACTAGCGATGTTCTACATACCATGAACAGGGTGCCATACCCCTAACCATTTTGCTCATTGCGAACGTCTACATTGTATGGTGAGCACGAGAGAGCAACGAAAGAGTGACTTTTTCAAAATTACATCCACGCAGTGACGAGAATTAACCAAAAGCGAGAGCTACAAGTAAAAGCATTGAACCTCTAAAGAGCACATCGACGCTGGACTGCTCAAACCACTGTATTTATATTCAACCATTCACCCCTACTGTTACTTCGTCGCCTTCGTTACCTCAAAACAATCCCTCGCTCGCGTCCTCGCACGGGTCTATATCTCAGAGAGAGAGTGGTTTTTCCGCCAAGAGTTACATTTTATCACAGAGCGTGAGCCTTAAAAAGACCAGCGAGCTGTAATGAGCTGCTGTCTCAGTAAGTTTTCTAGAAAAGTCATCTTGTCTATTCATCATCAGAAAAACATTTGATCGTCAGTATATTTTTGACGTACACTTCAACTTAGTATAATGTGCAAGTTGACAATTGTTAAACACAAAAGGACAATTGAGGTAAAATTCTAAATTAACATCAATATAATGTGTTTAATATACACAGCTCTGTGTATACAAATGAGACATACAAAAATATAAAATTTTAGACATTCAGTTGATCACTAAGCGAGTAGTCAGTAATCGATTTAATTTATGGGCGACAGAAAATAAATCAGTAAATATTTTGATTTGTCTTTTTATGTATCAACACACATTCGTTTTTTGTAAATGCTGCTAACAGCGTACTATATGAATTGAGAGAATTAAAACTTTCACTAATCGCACCAGTATGACATACTAAACTTTAGAGTAGCGAGATAAGAAAACTTCTATAAAACAATACTCAACAAAACACAGAACACAAATCGCCAAAAATAATAAAATACTATAGTAACAACAAAATCCAAATTACATATCTCAGCGTGCGTTAATACATAATATATATTTATAAGAGGACAGCCAGTCATATGAGAAGTGTTCTTACACATCACAAGATAGAGGAGAAATATATGATCAACTAGGAGTAGTAGTCAATAGACAAGAAATAGGACAAAAATCCAAGCCAACTGTCGGGACTATCTCGAACCATCATATTGACACCTCCCCAAATGCATAGTCCAGAGAGCTAGACTAAACGATACTGCTGACACATAATTAAAATGTAGTACAGAAGAGAATAAAAAAAGCGGATAAAAATAATACAATAAATCATTCTAAAAACAAATTTTCATCCCCATAAGGCCAAAAAGAGCGATGTCGACTTTCACAGCAAGCGTCTAGACAAAATCTCACTCAACACGAAAAATACAATCGCTCTGTGCGCAATCACAATCTTGTCTTCTATACTCTCAGTAATATTAACTCACGCATATTTTGACTGTAACTGACATAATCAAATGATGAGATATTAATGTCACCATCAGTATTGCTAAAGCAGCCACTCTACATCGACAAATCAAATTTTATATTATG